TGGTTTCTGCGGTTGTTAAAGGACGATTTACATATAAACAACAGTCAGCATTGGACATTTATTTTTGATAAGCAAAAGGGGTTAATTAATGCAATTAAGTCGTCATTCGAGAATTCGGAGCACAGAACATGTGTTAGACATTTATATAACAATTTTAGTGCCTCACACAAGGGATTGGCTTTGAAGAATTGTCTGTGGGATGCAGCCAGAGCGACTACTGTATTACAGTGGCTTCAACACATGCAGCGGATGTTTGACATGGACCAAGCTGCATATGAATGACTTGAATCAAAACCAGCATCTCAATGGAGCAAATCCCATTTCAGAGATGGAAACAAATGTGACATGATTCTCAACAATTTATGTGAATCATTTAATAGTACAATTGTCAACGCAAGAGAAAAGCCCATTTTGACCATGCTAGAGGAGATTCAGATTTATTTGATGAAGAGAATTGTTGTCCGTAGAGAGTCTTCTAACCGGTGGACAGCAGTAGTTGGCCCTAGAATTCAGAAAATTTTGGACAGGAACAGTAGACTTGCAAGGGTGGAGTGGGCTGAATATATGCAGGAAATGAAAGGTTTCAAGTCCGACACAATGCAGGCACCGTACTTAATGCTGTAGACTTAAGGGCAAGAACGTGCACATGTTGTGCTTGGCAATTGTCAGGAATTCCTTGTTGTCATGCGATTTCCTCTATTGTATCAAGAGGCCTTAATGTAATGGAGTTTGTAGATGACATATACAAGAGGGAGGCATACCTCGCAACTTATACTCCATCCATTTCCCCTATCACAGGTCCAGACTCATGGCCTAACCCAGGTCTCAACCCCCTCGATCCACCATTATACATAAAAAGAGCTGGAAGGCTAAAAAAAAAAAAAAAAAAAAAGCAGAAGAAAAGAGTCGAATGAAGTGGCTTCTTCAAGTCAAGTGAAGAAGTTTAGAAAGTCTTCGAGCCATATAAGTACTTCTGAGACAACTACAACAGCCACATCAGGTCCAAGGAAGAGAGCGGGGTTGATAATGACGTGCAGGAAATGTGGTGAACAAGGACACAATAGTAGGGGCTACAGAAGGGCACCACCACCAGTACCAAATTAGTATAATTTTGCCAGATAAAATTTTTTTTGTTTTTGGTTTAATGAATCACTACACATGAATTGTATATGGTTTGGTTCATTCACTACAGTAGTAATAGCTGTGGAATGCTGAATTGTATATGTTTTTGTTGATATTTTTGAACAATTGGATAGAAATAGGCACTTTCTGATTATGTGACATTTTCTTTTCTCCAAACTGGATAGAAATGAGCACTCTCTAATTATTGTCAAGTACTCGTTTTACTTAGTTTGGTTATTGAGCTTGGTTGTTGAGTGCTGATTTTACTGCATTTTGTTATTGAACTTGGTTGTTGAGTATTGGTTTTGCTGTGTTCGAACTAGGTGTTACGGACATTCAATTGCAGGGCAATAAACAGAATTGTATTTGGTTGCAGTTTAGACTAAGGTTGTTTGGCTCAAAATACGTAGGGACGGTTTGCACAATTTTTAACAAAGGTAGGGATATTTTGCTCAAAGACATTATAAAGGTAGGGATGTTTTGTGTAAATAGAATGTAAAGGTAGGGATGTTTTGAGCAGAGACGTTGTAAAGTTAGGGATTTTTTCGTAAAGAAAATGTAAAGGTAGGGATTGTTATCACCAATTCCATTTTATGCTAAAATGGGGAGAAAACACGTTTATATTTCATCATCTTCTCCACTCCATCACATGTATTGTCCATTTACAGAATCATACTTTGATTGGTCTTCTCACTTTACCTCTTATTTACACCATTCGTAAGCACAAAGTGAAGATGAACATCTCATTTTTATTAACCACATATTCATTCTCTTCATATAGCATTCCAAAATATTTTGAACAATCAGTATTACAGCAGTCATGAATATTTTCTACTAGAAATGCAGTCATTCTCACGTCATTTTCCCTAATTTATTGAATGAAATGATATTGTACAAGTTTTTTTTCATTTTACTTTACTTTTTTTGAACATTTGAAGAAGAAAGAGGCATGAGAGATTACACAGTGAAGAAAATGTTGGATGAACGATCTTACCCCTACATTTTAAAAAGAAAAGATCAATTTTATTTGATTTAATGGAGCATTTTAACGGGAAATTGACAGAAGGACATTCTGCGCAAAAAATGGTAAAGGTATGGACGTTCTCGCCCAAAAAACGAAAGGTAAAGACGTTCTCCACAAAAACCTCGAAAGGTAGAAACGTTTTGTGCTAATTAGCCTTTCATATAACATTTCACTATGACTACCTAATTTATTTACTAATTTTAAAGGAGTAAAACGGTAACTCTGTATTGTATATAAAAAATAAATTTAATTTTTTTTTAAATTTTAAAAAAGTTTTTATTTTGTTTTATTTTTTTAAGTAACTTTTTTTTAAATAATTTTTTATCATTTTTTTGAAGGAACTTTTTTTAAAAAAAAAAAAATAAGTTTTTATTTTATTTTTCTAATTAAATTTTTTTTAAAAAAGTTTTTTATTTTATTTTATTTTTTAAGTAATGTTAGTTTTTATTTTATTTTTTTGAAAAGAAGTTATTTTATTTTTTAAATTTATTATATATATATATAATGTAAAGTTACCATTTTATCATTTTTTAAATTAGTGAAAATGATGACAAAAAGTTGGGTGTCCATGATGAAACGTTATATAAAATTGGGTGAATATGATAAAACGTTTTATGAAATTAGTCAGCTATGGTGATGTAAAATCAAATTGAATGGTCATGGTGACAACAAGTATAAAATTGGGTGGCCATTGATGAATTTAACTCTCTTAAATTATGTATTTGTGATTTATTTGTAATATTTTTGAAAAATTTAGAACCATAATTGGAATTAGTTCTTTATTTTTTCTTTCCTTTTATTTTGTTTTATTTAAATAGAAAGGTATATATGTTATTTCGCGGCCTTTTATTGAGAAAATGATTGAAAATGATGATTTTCGCAATGAAATGGATAAATAATGCTGAAAATGCAATAATAATAATAATAAATAAAAAAATAAAAAATGAGGACATTTTGCTTAATAAATTTCAAATGTAGGAACGTTTTATGTTAGTAACCCAAAATCAAATTGATTAAATGCACGTGCACACAAATTCAAAAAAAAAAAAAAAATTGTAAAGAAACTACATGTTACTCCCATTAAGTTAGTCATCTGAAGCAACACGTGGAAGTTCCACTAATGTCATCGGAAGAGTCAACCCAAACATATGAAAAGACGAAGCAACAAGGTTATGAAGGTTTTAGAAGTCGAAGTCCTTGTTCTGGCCAAGATGCCACTCAGCCAGATACATATCGAAACCCTAACAAAGGGTTTAAGCTGAAGCCCTCAAGCTCACAACTCGTGGAAGTTCTAAAAGATAAGGCCGAAGTCCTAATAGACGAGGAGGCTGCCACATCTGTCAACCTGATGAATATCTTTGTGAAAAACTGATTAGATGTCCACTTTATCTTATATCAATAATATCAGCCTAAAAATATATGACAGTTGACCATTGGTCAATGTAATAAATGCATGTGTAAGAAGAATGCGATGTGTAGAAGGAGGAGGTAGGGGCACGTGGTTCGAATTCAACGACCACCACGTCTCCCCCAAACTTTATATATACCCTCTCCTTAGTAAAAGAGAAAAACGAGGGAGATATGTGTGGAACAATAAAAACAATATACATATAAAAAGAGAAAAGGAGGAGAAAACCCGGGAAGAAGAAGAAGGAACGAGTATATTAATTTTTGGCACATTTTTGAAGAGAAAAATAAACACTACTCTATACATTTCAAGTCATTGGATCTCTTATTCTTTTCATTTCCTTTCTATTTACATGCTATTGTTTCGAATATGTCGAAGTGAAATTGTATTCGCGCATCTTCAAGTTCTCCAATCACTTGAGCCGACGTCCAATTTTGGTTTTATCTAAACTTCTGGATTAAAAAAATTCTTCTTTTTCTTTTTCATTATAATTCACTTTTGACGACAACGTGTACTATTTATACCTAAAAAAATTAATTTTTTAAATAAATATTATATAATAGCCGCCTTATGAGAATCTCTGTCTCCCACAAATACAATCCATACCTTTCTTCCCTCAGTCAAACCAATAATTTTAAAACAACAAATTTGTGACCCATTTTAATAGATCTACTCGTTATTCTCCTTCCTTTGATCCTTTCTCTATTTCTCAATACATTCAAATTAGCAGCCTTCACTTCTAAGTAAAAGAAACTATCTAATTTTCACTAACACTATTCAATACCACAACCTGAATAATATATATATATATATATATATAGGTAAACTATATTCTGTACTTCTTCCACAATTAGTCTCAAAACTAATTCTTGCTGATTTAAGAATATCTTGATAACTATAAAAATTCTCATCCATTTGCTGGGCTTCTATAGGTTCCTTTGACTTTATTATATATTTTTCTGGTATAATTCTTTTATTAATTACACAATGACTACATCCTGAATCTATTAATCCTAAACAACTTATTTCAAAATTTTCTATTCTTACATAACATTTTACTTTAATACTTTTTAATTTTTCTGAATTACAAAAAACTTGAACTAATTCTGGTTCAGAAATAATTTCTGGATTTTTTCCTTTTTTTTCAGTGGGAAAAAATATTTCCCGAACTAACATGGATGGTTAGATTGTCCTCCTCGACACGAGCTACTTATTATGGGAGACTATTATGTGATCGTGAACATGTCTGTGACAAAATCAAGTCAATTTTGTTTTTATTTTTAATGAGTCAATTCATATAAAGTTTGAAACGTCCAATTCATTTGATATTAGTAAGCACAATTGGTGCTTGAAATTTCTCTATCACAAGAGTACAAATTAAGCATATAATACTAGACAGTTGATATGACTAACTAATATGATGAACAAAATTTGTAAAACTTGACTCCCATAATCAAATATTGATAAAATATTAGAAATAAGAAAGAAATAAAGAAACCTTGTTTTGTTCCAACCACAAAAGCAACATTAAAATGAACACAGCTTTACTCCGGTGGTCGATCTGGTAATTCTTCCTTTTCCTCTTCAAAGATCAAACAGAAAAACAGAGTTTCAAGTTTTTACCCCGGCATAGACTCGGTGAGTCGGCTGATCCCATTGAAAATGGGTCAAGAATCGTTGATATACAGCTTCGTGGCTCGTGGCACAGTGGTATTGGCGGAGTACACCGAGTTCACCGGCAACTTTCCGGAGATTGCAGCACGGTGCCTGCAGAGATTGCCTTCTTCCAATAACAAGTTCACTTACAATTGTGATCATCATACTTTTAACTTCCTTGTTGAAGATGGCTTTGGTATTTTCTCTCATTTTGCTACTCATTTATCTAACCAGTTTTTTTGCTCTTTGATCTTTCAAATTTTTTTTTTATTTGTTGATTTCGAGTTGAATTGCAAGTGGGTTTTGTTGGATCTAAGCTAGAAAGCTAAAAGTTATATTCTTTCCTGTTATCTTTGTATAGATATGCAATTCAAGCAAACATTAGTCTTCTCAAAACTCGATTTTTTTTGGGGGGATTGTAGAGAATTAGGTCTGAATCTTTTATTTATAATTGGTTTTTATTTAGAAAAAAATGATAAAAACTGAGTAAGTTCTCCAATTGAAGCAAGAAAATAAATTTATGCTTTCTCGGTTCTGTTCCTTAGATGATATTTTTCGTGCATTTATTGTTATGAGGTTTATTTAGCTATCTTTTTCTATTATTCTTTTTAATAATTCTATATTGTATAGTATAGACATATTTAAGGCCAGTTGAAAATGTAGGATTTGATTTTTTAGGACTTGGATATTGCATCTGTCTCTTGGTAGTAGCATGTGATTCAACTGATATATAAACGAGAGCATTCTTATTGAAATCTTCTATTAGGAGTTGTCATAAGCTTCTATAGTTGTAATTTGCAAGTGCTTAGACTATGGGTGAAAGCTTAAGCTATCAAACAAAGATTTCATACTGTTAGAAGATTTTGAATATTAGCTCGTTCAATTTTGCATAGAGAAATGCACGTGTAGGTGCTTTTGGAACTCTGATATTAGTTTGAAGATATTTTTATTTTTCCTCGTTGCTGGATATTCATATGGATTTTAGATCAGTTTGTCCATGTATTGGGTTTCTACATAGGCTTGACATTCTTGGGCTTGTAATGCCGAAGATTTCAAGATGAGCTCCGAGAATGATAAACAATGAAAAGTCTGAACAAATATTTGAACTTGTCATCTTGATTAGGATGGAGACCTCAGCTAGTTCGGTAAGAAAGTGCAGCCAGTGCTACTCTATCTTAACTTGTATATAAGTTTCTAAGAGCTCATTTAAGCTTGGCTTGAAGAGTACACTGAGCTGAGCAATTTTTAGATTTGTTTTGTGATAAGAAACTGAGGGGGTAAATAATCCCTATAAAGTTAAAGGGCTAATTCTAAAAAATAGTTATTAGACCTATCTATGTTGAGTTGTTACAAGAGAAAATATCTAAAATGTTAATGTAGTAGAAATGTGGATATGCTAAAATGGATAAGATAAAAAATGAGAATACACACCAAGAAGTGGAGGTGGCCCCAATTTATTATAAATTAAAAGAAGGATGATTTAAGTGGTAATATATGCTCTGTGTAGACTCTAAGGCTTATGTTATAGGAGTGATAGTTCTCAGTACAACATGTTAGAAGAGGGAGGGGTGGATCAAATCTAATGTGGCATATTGTAGTTACTAGAGATCTAGTTGCCTTAGATTTTCAGCAGATCTAACAATCAACGGAACGTAATGACAGTGCAGGATTCATGAAGGTGACCCTAAATACTTTGAGAATAGGACTTATGTGTTTTATTATTGCTTGCGATTTGAAGATGAGCCTGAGCAATCTAAAAGCTTGGTTTAAGAGATCTCATTTATGACTCTTATTTAATTGTCGTCCATCCATTAGAAAACCAAGAATGTGAATTTTAGAGTAGATAAACAGGGTCATGGATATTTTTTTTTCCGACAATATGATTTTGCACTATGTTTTTGTCAGATGCTTTAGGTATGCAAATTTTCCTTTAGCAAATTTTTGGTCCTTTAGACCGTGTTTAGAGCATAGAATCCAAAAGCTCTGACATGAATTTAAGAAAAGGCCAATTAGAATTTGTAATGACTCGGTCAAGTGCCAAGTCTGAGGCCCCTATATGTGTGGCTAAACCTCGAGTCTGAATTTATCCATCACCTATTGGAGGTATGTAGCTTGGAGCTTAGAATGATCATTTGGAAAATATTATGTAACCTTTTCTTTTTTTATAATTTGATTTCCAATCATTGGACAGTAGATAGTTTCCATTGTCCAAGTTGTGGCTATCTTTGGTAATAATGTGGTGAAAACTGGAAAGCTATAAACATGCTATAAATCTCGACTGGCATATTTCTAGAAGCTGCCTGGAATGTTGGATCCGGTGCTGGCCAAATGATGAATTATAGCGTGCACTCTTGCTAATGATATTATTAAATCAGTTTTGTTAATAGGATTCACAGAGTAAGGACAAATGCATTAACACACTTAGTGCATGCTTGGCTAAGCTTAAAATGTTACTTATAAGTAAATAAGTTGTAAAATAAATTATATTTTTGTTGTTCAAAGTTGGAAATCTGTAAGTTCTACATTTTAACAGTAGTGTGTGATTTGGCTTATCAAAATCGAAAATATTATAAAGGATTTTTTGCTTCAATTGACATGTTTGCTTAATCATGCAGCTTATTGCATTGTAGCCAAAGAATCTGTTGGAAAGCATATCTCATTCACGTTTCTGGAACGCATTAGATCTGATTTCAAGAAAAGATATGGTGGTGGTAAAGCGAGTACAGCAGTTGCCAAGAGTCTCAATAAGGAATTTGGGTATGCTCAGAAATATTTCTTTTAAATCTTCTATATATTTGATTACTAGAAAATGATAACCAAATATGTTATTCGCAGGCCTCTTATCAAAGAGCAAATGCAATATACAATAGAACATGCTGATGAGATTGATAAGCTGTTAAAAGTAAAGGCCCAAGTTTCACAAGTCAAAAGCATTATGCTGGAGAATATAGATAAGGTATGTACTATAAAATGGAGTTATATGCATGGCGTTGGCCATTTAACCTCTTTTGATTGCTTTTTCTATTTTTTTGTGGAACTTTTCATTCTATGTTCTTGTTACCTTAAGGCTCTAATACTTCCTTTTTTCCTCTTATATTCAAAACGATTTTAAAAATCTTATGTTTCATACAGTTTTGCAGTTAAAATGTTTATTTGCTCGAATTCCTGTAAAATTGTGAAGTAATACTTATGTGCTCGATGGTGCTGTCTTACAAATATCTTAAAAGTTGTAGGATATGTGGTAGGGATGATTGATAGCACTAGATAATACTAAGTCAGATAAACAAGTTAAATAATGTCTAGTCCTATCCAGTATCATGCACCAAACACACTCAAGAATTTTTCAATGGAGCTAACAAAAGGAAGCAAAAGGGGTTATTTAGGTTGAAGTGATATAGTAGAACAATTCTTTCAGATAATTTGATAGTTCTTTAAAATAATTTTAATTATTTATGAGTATTTTAGTGCATTTTAATAAAGAACATACCATATAATACAAACCTATCTTAATTTAATTGGCGTGGGCCTAGAATTAGTTGCCACTCATTTCCAGCAAAAGTTACTTCATTACATATAGAGACTCGCATGCACCTAGTTGTAAATACATATTTTTTTTCTGTCAACTGCATGCAAATTAATTATTTTTTGAAGCTTCATGGATATTCATTGACCTCATCAAAAACAAATCCAGAACTCTGTTCTCCATTCCCTACTTATAGAATAAAACATGAGACTTTTCTCTAGTGAATAAACGTTTGCTCGTGAGTTTTGTTCTCTATTTTTCCTGCTTTCTTCTAGTTATAACCGAGTAATTAAATTAATACTTTGTTATTGTGTCGATGCACCTTCCAGGCTGTTGATAGGGGAGAAAACTTAACCATTCTTACCAACAAAGCTGAAGTGCTGCGTGATTCGGTAGGTCAACATTTTTGGCTTATAAGCTTAAGAGTTATTTTTCCAGAAAGTAATTTAACACTTCCTTTCTAGAAATATATGTTTTGTTAGTAATTTTAAAATTATATTTCTATTTAAGCTTAGCCAAACATGCTCTTCTCTTATATTATAATCACATGCACATTTTTCATGAACCTCTTCCCTATCTTTTTCAGGCAAAAGAATTTGAGAAAACAGGGACGCAAGTCCGAAGAAAGATGTGGTATCAGAATATGAAAATAAAGTTGGTCGTGCTAGGAATCCTCCTCCTCTTGGTCCTTATCATCTGGGTTTCCATTTGCCATGGTTTCAACTGCTCCAACTAGAATATATTTACTTCCTGTTTGTTTTGTTACAGTCAGCTATTACTCTCCTCCATCAATTCAGACTGTATTATTTCATTTGGCGATGGAGTTTTCTGTTGAACGAGAAATATCCTATCGCACTTCATGTATACTGAATGTCTTCTAAGCTTCAATGTTTTTTAGTTAGTGCTGTATGGTGCACATATAATTGCTGCGATAATTCATTCCGAATTTCGTTGAATGTAGACATTCTTTTAAAGATTTATACAAAATTATCAATAGAAGATTTTGATATAGCATTCTTCTTGTTACATTTATGGATCATTTGTTAACTTTCCAACGTAGGATAAGTAGACCGTGCAGGATAGTGCTCGGCCACGCTATTTTTCAGTTGGTTTTTAAACCTACAGTTTGTGTTCTTTCTACAACCTTTTTGCCTATTCATCCATGGAGTGTTAACATCTTCATAAAAAATGGATTTTTGGGTTGAAAAACATATCATCCATATATTAATCTAAAAATGAAAATCATTTACAAAAAATAAAATTTAAAGTGTTATAAAATTCTTCCACTTTTGCTTGACGATTAATTCTTCAAAACTATTTGTTGGTACCACAAGCAATCTAAATCCAAGAGTGGACAAATACTGTTTTAGGACAATGATTAATTATGTTCATGTCTGGACATTTTCTGGATTTTCTTCATTCGGGTTTTAGTTCTTCTCCGTTTCTTCTTTGTTTCCAACATTTACATGCCAAGCATGCGAAACAAAACCCTCGTAGATGTACTTCAAGAGGTAAGGGTCGTACCCCCCTCCTTCGTAATATATATACGTAGGAGTTTTTCAAATCTTCACTTAATCATTGAAGTTGAATAATTTGTATTTCGCAAATACAGCTATAGTATATCAAACTCATCGAAAGAAGAATAAATCAAATTAGTAAAGGAATTACTCAATATCCAAGTACATCATGACTAAAAAATATATAAATTTTGTGGAAAAGTTTTTTAGTCTTCACTTGTTAGAGAATTTTTGAGAATAAATTTTGTGAAAAGTACCTTCTTCTTTTTTTTTCCCCCCAAAATATGTGATTAAAAATTAGAAAAAAGTTGTGAATCTAATTGAAAAATTATTTTATTGAAAACTTGTCCGATTGAAAATGAGTACGAGGGAATGGATGCGAAACTGAGCTTCCTAAATGACTTAACCAGATTTGCTTTTGTTTATATTATGAATAAATTGCAAAAGTACATTTTAAAAACTATGTTTCTTTGCTTGAATGGGAAAAGAACAACCATTTTCAAGCATCTTTGTCAAAAGGACCGGTTTAAAGTACTTATCCACGAAGAATCTGACCCTAGCTACTAGCTTAATTTATAAGCTTAATTATCGCCGTTGAAGTTCATGCTAAAGATGATTCTATATATTTTGAAATCTCAAGTTGTTAGTGGGACAATGGTACTATGGGATTTCATTAAAAAAAATAAAAAAAAAAAAAAAAATTATGTATCGTTTGTGTTTAATAGATTTATCACATGATTGTATGATTCTTATTTACTACATCATATTTATTTTATGACATTTAGTTTCGAAACAAACCCATGTTTGGTTTTTCTTGTTTTCCTTGATTTATATTTTAGACGGGAATCAATTTTGGATTTTTCTTGTAATATTAGATCAATTTTTTTTAAATAGAGTTATTTTACTACTGATTGAATTTGTAAAGTTATTGTTTTGAATTTGAAACGCCATTATTTTTCACTCGTTGATATTATTGATATAGTAAGGCTAAAAGAATGTATCATAGTTATTGGGGGTTGGATTGCATGATTTATGAGTTGATTTCTCCATGTAGTTACCCAATCGCAAGTAGTGTAAATTTTAATGACCAAAATGCTATTGGATAAAAGTTCAATAACCTTTAGGGTGTGTTTGATTACATTTATTTTTCATGAAAAATATCAAATTTTCACCAAAATTCTTGCTTTGGAATGTTTGATTGCTATTTTTTCCATTGAAAATATATTTCAACTTTTGAAAATATGCCTAATTTTTTTTATTTTCAAGGAAAATATTTTCTTTTAGAGAGTATGTTTTTGTTTTCCTAAAAAGAGGAAAATATTTTCTTTTTTAAGTGATATTTTCAATGTCAATCAAATACAGTCTTAGTGTTATTAATGATGTACATGTTCGCGTTTTCGTCAATTTTGACGGCAAGTCAGCAAACTCCAGCATGCACATTAATGAAATCCCCATGGAGTTGCTTGATTGTGTTTAAATTAAAGATAGTGACTGGATTGCTTCAAATTAAAGTTTGATGACCTGATTGTAACTAGGATAGAAGTTCAGTGACCTCCACAGCAATTAGCCATCATTTTTAGATTTGCCATATAATAAGGTTTTTTGTGTTAATTACTAAGGTCTCGTTTGGAACCTGTTTTTGTAAGAATGAAAAGAAAAATATAATCGTTACGGAATTCACACAAGAGATAGAAAGTTAAATATGATGGCTTGATGTGATGTATAGGCCTGGACATCGGGTGGATCGATCCGAGTATTTTAATACCCAGAACCGCCCATTATGCTTCGGGTATTTTGCAAATGAAACCATTCGGGTCTTTGTAAATACTGGAACCAAACTCAAACCCGAACTATCGGTTCCGATTCGATTTCAGTTCTACCCATAACATTTTTATATACATTTATTTAATCAATATTTCACGTAGACTGTTTTGGTACATATATCTAATATGCTACTATTTGAAAATATATATGCAATAGAGAAAATTCAGTTAAAAAATGTTCAAAAAGCAAAATATTGGATACTAAAAGTCACGAAAATAGGAGAAAATAAAAAAAATAAAAAATGAAATTATAATTTGAGAAAAAATTACTTTTCTTAATAAATCTTATTCGATCTCTAAGAGATGCATATTAGGCATATAATTTAATTATGAATAATGCTTGAATTCTTCTACTTATAAAACAAACTGATATAAAAAATACTAATTAAATACATAGCTAATATAATATAAAAAATTATGGTCCACACATTGAACACACTCTGTTTGAATAAAAAACAAAAAAAATATTTAAAAATAGAACCATGAACTCAAGATAACAAAAAAGTAAAACACAGAGCAAGCAATGAATATATCAAATTCAATTGCCATGCGTTATAAAAAAGAATCACTTAAGTTTATTAATAATACAAGAAAGTAAAAAGTTTGAATTGCAAAAGAATGGACACTTTGATTAATCAACTTATATTACAATCTATTAGAAATTTTTGATTTATAAAATGCTCAAATTGTAAACATTAACATATAATAATCTTTGAGATACAACAATCTGATGTAAGGTGAAATGTAAAAAGGTGATAACCAATCTTATTTTTTAGGGTTAGTTTAAAGTTTTAGACTAATTACTACCAAAATTATGATTTTTAGATTTTATATGTTTTTTCGGCCAATAAATTATAAATAGATTTTTTTTATTTATAAAAATCAGTTCCATTTGAGTACTTGTGATTTAGGAACCCAGAACCAAACCAGCACTCGGTTCTCGATTTTCAGTTCCGATTCCTGTGATATCTTTTGATATAGTCAATTCTTGTGATATCTTTTGCGTCTCTTTTGTTGAGTTCGTCATAGATTTGACTTTTAAAATTACAAGTAGAAGAAAATAGTAAGCTCACAATAATGAAGAAAGACGTAGCCGAGCTTCCAATTCGATTTCTTTACAATTCGATTTCTTTAGAATGATAGAAACGACGCTATAGTAAAATAAGAGATTTGGGTAAAACTTAAATCAATTTAATTAAGTTGAGTTTTGGGTTGAAAATTAGAAATAAGAAATTCATATTTTGAGTATGAACTAAATTAATTAGTTAGCTAATTAATTTAGAAAAAAATAAAATAATTCGATTTATTTAAGATAAAAAATTCGGGAGATTCAAATTTTTTTTTTTCCAATTCTTCGATTTTTGGTTTAGAATAGAGAATCGAACCAAGCCTGTTGATTCTCAATTTAGATACCTGTTCGGGTATTTAACTTAAAAATCCCGCCTTTGGCCCCTGTTAAATTAAATTTTATTTTTCTCTCTTCTATTTACAACTACGTAGTCTTTCATAAAATATTTTTTTTATGTAAATAAATTTTTTTTCTTTTTCAACCATCCATTCTTCCCAAAATAATAATAATAATAATGATAATAATAATAATATATTAAAATTTGAAATAATGGGGGCCAAACGGAGCGAAGAATTGCTATGTTGGATTCGAAAATTCTATCCAACCCTATATTTTGTGATTTAGAAGTAGTTTCAATAGTAACAATGGTTGCTTTAATAAGTAATTTCCCTTGTACAGAGGAACTGCTCCTATAATTATTTGGTCTATTTTTTATTTTATTTTTTTGCCATTTTTTAATTGAAAGCTACCAAGTGTTAATCTGAATTCATTTTTGAGTATGCATAGTAGGTCTCGGCTTTAATAAGGATCCCTTTGCAGTGAACTTGTTTTCTTGTTGGTTTTATCTTTTAGATGGGTTATATTTTGGAGGTTGCAGAAAAGGGTTTTTATTTTTGTTTTTTGTTTGTGTGTGTGTGTGCATGTGTGCCCTTACTTCTTTATATTAACAAAAAATATAAATACATATATAAATTATGGTGCTTTGTTTATCGAGTTAAGATTTACTGTGTAACTTTTGCTATCAACTCAATAAATTATTGATACATCATTTTGTGTGTGAGAGAGTATTTAACATTGTTAAATGGTTGAGAGACTTAAAGTGAGAAAATAAAATTAATAAGATGTTAATTTAAAACGATGTGCCAATAATTAATTGAGTTGACAGTAGATCTCTACTATGCATGACCGCCCTTCGTGTTCTAAGCCTCTAATTAAATAATTTTGCATAATTAGGATTTATTAATTTTGCACCATATTTCTTAGATATTTTTTCAGATTGGATGTTAATTAATTATTGCAAAAATATATTTAATGAAGCTTGAGTAATTAAGATTCAAATTCAATACATTTAGATTGAATAATAACTGCCATGCAGTAATTTAATATTTTACAATTCATTATAGGCACCAAGAATACTAGAAATGAAGAGGATTGTTCATCCTATTGTCCACAAAACAATACACAACAAGCAAAAATTGCCATAATTCACCAAGATTCATCTCTTTTTCGCTTCGACTTGTAAAAGAAATTGAAGCAACTATTATACATCTGAATTGCAAGTATAATTTATAGAAAATCTCAAAATCATATCGAACAAACATTTTATATGACATTAAGAACCTTGCCCTAAAATACAATCTTAAGAATCTCATATCCAAATACTGAATATACAAACATGCATAAGCCAGACAAAAAAGAAGAAAGAAGGAAAAAAATAAAATAAAAATCCCTAGATCAAATTTTCAGACAACCTAGGACTAATCAAACTGCTGTCAAACGCTTGATTAATAAAATCACTGATTCTCAAGAAGAAGTTAAAGAAACACAATACATGAACACTCATTTGATTCAGCACATGTCCCTAACTTCGAATTCATTGCGATTCTTAACAACAATATCGTACATGTGTATGGACTTGAACTTGTTGAAATCTATGGGAAGAGAGATTAGGTGGACTGTTGATCTCTTGTGGTACTGAAGAAGGCTAGGATCGTCATAGTACCGCTCCCATCCGAGTGATGATAATTTTCTTTCGAGAATAGCATAAGATGTAACAACGTCATTAGACGGGACATGGACTAGCATTTTCCGGACATTGCACTCTCCTGGATTTTCAACTAGTCGAACAACACCATTCTTGAAAATCCAAACACCAGACATTTTTTTTCCAATGGAACTAAAGAAAATGAAAAAAGGAAAAAAAGAGAGAGAATGAGAATCAAAAGCAAAGGGTGGTATGTGTTCAAAGATGAACTTATGAGCAATGGCCAAGGGGTCCTGCTGAATGTGAATATATATATAGAGGACGCTGTAGAATTTAGAAAGATTTTGTATGGGCGAGATTTTTCTCTGAGGAAAATGGTTTTTTATTTTTGGAAAATATGTAGTTAAAAAGTAGGGAAAAGGTATTAGACTAGGTGAACCAATTTTTTTTTATTTTTTATTTTATTTTTTTATTTTTTTTGGAGAATGTAATATGTATGGTAAAAAAGTATGGAAAGTTATGGTTAAAATGAGTTAAGAAAACAGTGATTTTTAAATTAATCTCTTCCAAACAAGGTATGAAGTTAATTTTTAATAATTGAGAGTATGAGAACTTACAAAAAAAGCATGACAAGTGTATTTTATACACTTATTCGAGATTTAAAATATGGACATTTTGTAGTTCTTTTAATGAAATTATAGCCTAATTTATTAAATTATATAATGCGTTGTTAGTCGAAACTCGATGAATGGAAGTGAAATTGAAAAAAAAAAAAAAAGAAAAAAAAAATTGATGAAAAGGGACAAGATCCAAATTTTGGAGACTCGAGAGTAAATAATTAAAAGTTGTATCAGACCTCACAATGAAAATTCGAGAATGCTCGGGGGTCAATTGGATGAAATTAGAAGTAAGAAGGAGTGAAATATGATCAAAATATGGACATAGTGTTGATTTTCAACCGCACAGGTATGTTTCAGATTTTCAATTCAGGATTGAAACCCATTTTTGACCTAGTAAACATTCGAGTTGGAAAATGTCTATTTCAAATAAAGTTGTAGCATTTTGAGTGACATTTGTACACCCCAATTTGAATCGTCTCAATTGAATATCAGAAGAGATAGTTATGTTAAAAATACTAGAGGATGCGTAGTGTTGAATTCTACCTGAAAAGTGGCGCCGAGACAGAGTACGGCATCGCAGCGCCACTCCCATGGCATTGAGGCGCTGCCTAGGTGCATTTAGAACGCGTTTTGGCCCGTTTGGAAGTTCATAAAATCCTACTTTTACACAAATGAGAAGACAACTAATAATACACGTTTCCACACTTTTAAGGGGGATTCCACACATTGAGAGATAAAAAATACAACTTGAGAATTAGAAAGCAAATTCAAGAGGAGAAAAACAATAATTCAAAGGTTTGAAATCAAGATCTAGAATGAGAAGAGGAACTTGGTGTAAGATTCATCATATTTTCTACATCTCAGTTCAAAACATGTGATGTACTTACTCAATGCAATTCTTTAGTTTTTCTTCCATTATCATGAGTAGTTAAATTCATATAAGGGCAAACAATGTAATCTTTTGAGACTCTTTGTTTCTTTTATTCAAGATTCAAGTTCTTTAAATGCATATGTGCTTATTTTAATTATGTACTTAATGCTTTGAATTCTTTCGCGAATTATTCAATGACTTCATGAATCTATTACGAATTGAGAGATGAGTTTTAAATTTAGACCACTTATTAAAATTTGATAAATTAGTATAACGTGTAGAGATACATATACTGATTATTGTGATCATTGTATGAATTTTAGAACTAATATTTCGTTTAACTAAAATTGATTCGCATAGAGATATGTGATTGAATTAGTTATATATGCTCAATGAGAACTCGAGAAAGGTAAATTGAATACAATAGAAGAATATGACCGAACACTATATTGGAATTTTGAATCTTGAATTGACACTCAAAGGTGACCAATGAGTGAAATTGTTCTACTCTAATATCCGTTCATTATCGAAATTATAAATCAATCTTTGTGTGAATCCACATATTTTCAAATAGCTCTATTAAAAATCACAACATCTAATTCTTTATTTGTTTGTTTTTTTTTTCTCAATCAAATTAAAGTTAGGAATAATTAAGCCAATTGTTAAATAGTAGTCCTCGTGTGAACGATATTCGAACTCTTAGGTTCACTTTATTACTTGTTATGATCCGTACACTTGCGAGATATAGAATCGATAACAAAGCACTTATATTTTTGCATGGGCTAATGACAAAAATTTGATATGGGTTTTGTATGAATATACGTTTATAAATAAAGATTTAACGTTCCCACGTAATTTGGTATACCCCGACTTTTGTCTTAATGGGTATCTTCTCCTTATATCCTTTAATATTTAAATAATATAGTAATCAATTACAGTAATTAATTAATAAGTATTCTAGTGCATTTTAGGAAAGAACAAACATATATGCAAAGAGCAAATGTGTAGTTTATGAATTGTATTAAAAAAAGTATGAACTTTGAATAAAGAGTACCACTACATCAAAGGGAGTAACACAAATTAATTAAGAATTCCATATATTCGATGATCATATATACTAATATACACAAGAAATGGTTTACTATGCAATGTTGTTTAGCTTATCCTTAGCAGTAGTTTCAACAAAACTAATTTAATTAATGGAACCTACTAAAAACTTATTTATCAATTAGTTAATTAATCAATCATATCGAAGTTATTACGTATAAGTTAAGTAACGATGTTTAAGTAGATTGTATATATTATATACATATGATCTACTAAATAATGATACTTAACATAATCATAACATGACACATCAATTTAACAAATATAATTTAATTTATGGGAGCCATCATAAGTTTATACACCAATTAATTAATGTATCTTGTCTTTCTATATGTAAATGTACTTGTGTTTGTATAGGCTAATTCGATCCTCTTATTTTCTCGAACTAATCATAAATCCATGCACTGGACTAATGGAGTCGAATAACGGCCAGGGATGCCAATTTCCAAGTACATTTTTAAGTATCCTACGTCTCAAATACGAAGCTTATTCCATTATCTTGCTGGCCAACCTTGACTTATATTATTTTGGGATCATATCTAACTATTTGGAGTCCACCTCAATTGACACAAGCTCTTGTGGCCCTAGACACAAAGAGGGCTCTTTACCTATACGTGACCACGTCCGTTATATTGGAAAAGTGTACGCAAATGAAGGCTTCATTCATTGCCTGGAATATGACAAAAGCTACAACTGTCGAAATCAAACTCATGAAAAAACAAATCCAGAACTCTTTTTCCCATACTCTATGGATTGGATAAGAAGATGAAAACTTTTCTCTAAAAAATTTCACGACTTTTTCTTTAATAATTTTTATTTCTTTTCTCTTTGTCTCCTCAATTGATATGTCGAGGGGGAAATGTCTCACTATTGTCCATTCAAATAAAGAATGTGGTTCCAGACACTTTTTGATAAGTTTATTAGTCTGTGAAAACTTTAGAGCATGTGTCGATAACAAGTCTTTGTTGGAAAAAATTATTAATTTGTTTTATGGACCAATATATTTAATTAATTGTGTTTAAAGGCTATCTTAAAGTTAAGTTTAAAATTAAAGTGATCTAATAAAGAATTAAATAATGAGGCTTAGGGCATCTAAATAAAGTGTGGATTGGATTATGTGTATAGAGACCAAATTTCTTTATAATTGTATTTCATGACTGACGAAATACTTATAAATATCTAGAGGGTCATGGTCTCTAATTTATATGCAATTTCTCATTTTATATGTCATCTCATTAATGCAAGAATACAAAACATATTGAAGAGAATTATCCAAAATCCATAATCATGATCTAGAATCAAGAAGGAAATTTAAAATCAAGACTACGGATTAAGAAGCAAATTCAAGAACAAGGCAATCAAAATTAAAAATAAGAAACCAAACAAGAAGGGATTGCAAGTTAATTTTCAAGATTCAAAATCAAGATCCAGTAATTAGTCTCAATGATTTAAGCTATATTCCTCATTAATTAATTATCTTGATGATTTGACAAGGAGATTTTGGCAATTCATAAGATTTTATAATGTTTAAGTTTCATAAAAATTCATAAAGTGGTATTAGAGCCAATCCATGTTAAATCATTGAGATTAAAGGAAGATTTTGAAGGTTGAAATTCATACTTTGGTTTTATAAAATTTTGGGATGTAAATTTCAAATCCTAAATATCAAAATTTTGAATTTAAGGTATTTTTTCGACATTATAGCAGCGCTGTGGCACCTAGCACCGAGCACTATAGCGCTCTCTTTTCTCTAGGAGCACACAGACAATGTTCTGTTTTTATTTATTTTTCTTTGAGCAACAAAAGAGAAAAATAAAAATAAAAACAAAGTATAAGGGGGCAATCAAAATCAAATCTTGGTATTAAAGTTTCTTTTAGATTACTAATTTTCTAAAATGAATTAATTGAAACAACATGTTACCAAAGTAACATTTTTTTGTCTAAATTGATTTATTTGGAATATTAGGAAAGTGATGAGTACTAAATTCATACGTGTATTGACCGGTCCAAAGGAAGGTTAATATTGAGTCGAATTATTTGCACACCCATGATAATAAATATATGACAATTGTGAAATTTTTCATTATATTAACATGAGTTGGTTCAAAGATAAACTTAATGTTTGACCGAATTTATTGTCAATATTTGATTACTACATAAAATGTGCCACTTACAAGTTGGTAATTTTGTCTAAAGACTAAATATCAATGTTGTGTTCGATCTTTTGTGATGGAATTTATCATTATTTTAAATTATTGATTGTCTAATACGAATTTTCATATAAATATGTTATTTAGATTTAAGTTCTCTATTTGGTTAATTCATCTACTTCTACAATATCTGCGGACTAATCAATTAAATTCTTGTGTTTATGAAACCAAATTTTAAGGATTGGAAAGAGAACAATCATATCGTTCTTAGCTACATGGATCTAAGTCTTGCTTTAAGGACTAAACAACCCACCAGTCTTACAAATAAGAGTTTCGTTGATGAAACGTGAATCGGATAACTGGGATCGTTTAAACTGTATGAATCTTATGATTACGAAGCGTGAAATTCCCGTAACATTCAATGGCACTAAGGTAATTATTGTCAATGAATTTCTTGAGAAAATTGAAAAATACTTTGCAAAGGGCAATAATGCCGAAACTAGCATGCCTTTTGAT